TATATATATATATATATATATATATATATATATATATATATATATATATATGGATGCATAAGGCCGGAGGAATTTGCAAAACTGATAGATCCAAGTGAAGGTAAAGGTATCCAAGAAGCACTTTTTCGAACAGAAAATGAAAATTGGTACCGTCAATACTATCAAGTTGCTGCTAAGAATGCTATCAGAATGGTATCTGATGGTCTTCCTCCTCATATGGAATCCAAAAGAATCGAAATAATGGAAAAATTACGAGCATTTCTTAATGATGATGTATTTTTTCGCACTATGAGCGAATTAGTTGCTATGCAAGGGCCCCTTACGGTTTTTTGTCATGGTGATTGTTGGACTAATAATATTTTATTTAAAGACGATTTGACTAAATCAAACGAGGAAGTAAGTATTATATATAGATAATATTTACTATCATTTAGTAGTAAAATAAAACAAAAAAAATATTTTTTTTATGTATATTATTATATTAAAATATAAAATATTTGTTGAACATGCATGTTATTCAATTTTATATTATATAAGAAAAATCAAGAAATAATGTTTCTTAGTATTATTTTATTATTTATTAATTTATTACTTATTAATTATTAATTTTAAGATGTTCAACGTATTATGATTTTTTTGTTTTTTATTATATATCTTGTACAAGTATTATTTTAACAGTATTAAAGAAAAATATTCTTGTAATTCATAAAATTTCTGTCAAAATAAAAGTTGTTCATATTTAATAAGTCATTTAGTTTTATTTAGTTTTCAAGTATTATGCATACTTGATAGAATTAAATAAATTATGTTTTTTATCATGAAATAGGATATTTTTATAAATTCTATTCCCATATTAATTAAAATTATTGAAATAAAAAAGAAAGAATAGACAAGTATAGTGTAAAAATATGGCTTATCATTATCATATTTTTTACTTCATTTGCGAAATAAAAATAATATGAATATGAATATTAAGATATATCAAATTTCAATTATGTTAACTTAGGGAATAGAAATTGGAAATATTACAATGTAATTGGATCAAATCTTAAATTACGATTAACATTATGACTTTACAGGTTGTCTATTTAATTGATTTTCAACTAACTCGAGTTGGTTCACTTGCCCTTGATCTTGCGAATTTGTTGTACTGCTGTGCAAGTGGAGAAATTAGACGAGCGCACATGACACAACTTCTTCAACATTATCATTTCCATCTAATGTCTTCATTACATACGCTTAATCCAAAACAGCCACCAAAAGATCCATCTGTGATGTGGGAACTGTAAGTAATATTACGTGCAATGTGTTCGTAAGAAAAAAAAATATAATTGAAAAATTTATTAAACGAATATTTTTAAAGCACTTTTAATCTTACTATTCATCGTATAGATTAAATGAAGAAATGCGACGATGTGGCCGATTTGGTGTAGGTCTCGCATTGGATATTTTACCAATTAGTACGTGCGAAAGTGAAGAAGCTCCAGATTTGTATGAAAAATCAGAAATGAATAAAGGAAAAGAAAATACACGAGCACCACCACGAGAAGGAGCTGAATGTGCTCGACTTATGACTGATTTAGTTTTGGAGCTTGTGCATAATCATGCTTTATAGATTAAATTATAAAAAATCTTTATAAATACTATTCTAGAAAATCTTTGTTATGTTGCTATAAAATAATTAATTTTAATGTAATTAAATATGTAATATACTATTTAATATAATGTTATATATATGCATATTATAAATTATATAAATTTTTGTCATTTTATATAATGCAAAATTTCGTCCAAAATATCTAATTATATTAAATGAAAATAAATAAAACAAATATTATTCAATATTGCAAAAATACTTAGTAGTAAAAATTTTACTCATACTTTTTTCTATGTATATCTTCATCATATACTTATCATATCATATGCTTTATCTGATAAATCTGATAATATCTGATGCATTTCATTATTATTATTTTAATTAATAATTACAATTTATGAATATGATATATAACTTACAAAAAACTTATGCTTGTTGTGGAGGTGTATGTGATGGTGGTTGTTGGGTTGATGCTTGAGGGCTTGGTGGTTGTTGCTGCTGTTGTTGTTGTTGTTGTTGTTGAGCAGTAGGTTGCCATGCAGGATGTTGATTTTGTTGTTGTTGTTGTTGCTCTTGAGCTAAACGTTGATGCGCTTGTTGTCTGGCTCTAAATTCGGCTGCTTTTAATTGTTCCAAATGAAACTGTTGTCTTTCAGTAATGAGTTGTTGTCGTTGATATTCAAGCCCTTCACGTTCTCGTTCCATTGTCGTCTCCAATTCTTCAAAATGACGTAATTTAATTTCTAATTTCTTCATTTGTGTTTCAACTAGCAGCGCCACCAAAGCTTTAATTTTACGTTCTTCTACAGCTGCCAAATGTTTTGCTTTAACGGCAGCTGCTGCTAACGCTGCTGCAGCTGCAGATTGAAGTTGCGCATCTCGTACCACCTATATGATAATGAAAAGAAAAAAAAATATAAATAAATGAAAATATAAAAAATATAAATATATTTTTTATATTATAGAAATATTTAATAAATGTGAAAATATAAAATAATTATTTACCTTATCTCTCTTTTCTTTTGCCTCCATAGTTTCAGCATCCATGGTTGATTTTGCATCTTCTTCGGTTTCTTTCAATTCGTCTTCCTTTTTTGTTATGTCCAATTGACTTTGATCTATTTCAGATTCTTTAGGCTTTTCTGGTTCCTCTTTTTTCATTTCCATAGTAGCTGTTGTTGCAGAATGTGGAGAAGTAACTGTAGTGCCTGTAGTTGAGGGTGGTGTTGTATCATCGGGAGGTTCGGGTGGTCCAGTCCCAGCTATACCTGATTGTGCTAATCCTGCAGCTGGATCAAACTTACCTAAATAATTCGAAAATAATTAATATAACAAAATTTTATTTCAGTCATTAATAAGAAAATTACGAGAAAAAGATTAATTACCATCAGAGTTAGCACTAGCTTGAACATTTCTTAAGTGTTGATCTAATAAAGCAGCTGGTACTTGATCTTTAATAGCTGCAAATTCTTCCATAGCAGCTTTGGCTGCACTTGCAGCAACTCTAGGATCAACAACTGAAGCTAAAAATGCCACAGTACTCATAACTGGATTGCCAGCTTTAGAAAATGGTACCGGTTGATAAGCTAATGGACCCAAACCCTCTGGTCCGCTTTCTTCTAAATAAGGATCTTCTATGGGAAGTCGTAGGAAATGCAAGATACATTCATCCTGTGTTCTCGAACCAACATGTTCACAGACTTTATTCCAATCATCTTTGTGTAATTCTAATCCTTCTAATAGTAAAAGTGTTTCTTGTTCTGTCCAATCACGAGTAGCACCAGCAGCTTGTTTGTTTTTTAAAACTGCCGGTTTTCTCGAATACTGATCAATTTTTAGCCCAAAATTTGCCATCACTCCAGCTGAAGTTTTCTCTTCTGTTCCCAAACCAGATGATTTCTTTTCTAAATCAAGTAATGTTTTTGCGGCTGAAGGTTGTGGTGTTTTCGGAGGATTCGGATTAACCGGAGCTAAACCTGATGGAGTATCTGATAATACATGGAAATGTGATGTTGGAGGTGGACCCATAGGTGTTGGTCTTGATTCTGCATCTACTTGGTAATTAATAAGTCCCCACTGTTCCAAAAATGCATGTACACGCATGATTGCGCATACATCTCCTGCTAAATTACGCCTACAAGCAGTTGATGTAATATATTCTGTAGGATTTAATCTATAGGTATCGATCATAAAATTTCTGTATGCAAGATAAATTTCTGGCGTTTTAGATTTATTTTTACCATTAAAAAACTCAGATAAAGCTCTTTTTTCAATAGTATGAATCGAATTATAATCAAACCAAGCAGAATAACTAGGAACAACAATATGATGTGTTTGTTCAGTGACATTATCTTCTGGTTCGTCTCCTTTACTCCCTTCCCCTCTTTCTTTACTTGCATCTCGTTCTTCTCTATCTTGAGTACTTTGAGAACTTCCTTTATCTCCTTCCATAGGTTCATCCAAATCCGCCATATTACCAGATTTAAGTGGTTGAAGTTCGTTATCTTGTTTCTTACTACCTGTTGTCGTTAAAGCACTGCCACTTGTTGGAATATTACCTTGACCAGTCACTGGTGGATTCGTAGGAGTAGCAACTACTTCTACGATTCGAGGTTCTGCTGGTGGATCTTCCATTCCTTGAGTGAGATCGTCTTCTTCTTCTCCACCACCGCGGGATTTCTTCGGAGTCGCAAGTGATGATGAAGATGAAGTTTGAACACCTGATGGTGCTCTTGCGCTTTTACGTTTTCCTGGTTTCGGCGATGGACTAGGAGATCGTTTCCTTTTTGGTTTTTTCGCTGAAGGAGGAGGATGAGATGGTTGAGCCATTAAATCTTCTACCGAAAGTCGGTATTTATGTATTTTCTTTTGACCATTTTCATCTATTTCATAGTCTTCTTCGTTCATCCATTCATTATATTGATCTAAATCTAATGCCCATGTTGCGGCTACTTTGTATACTGATTTCATGTTTGTATTTGTAAGAGTACCTTCTGGGAAGTCCCAAGGAAGATCTAATGTAGTCCAAGAATCGTAACTATCAGGAAAATAGTACCAATGAAGAAGAACAGATCTTTCTCGTCTCATACAAGGTCGCGCGTATTCTTCTTCCATAGGATCAACTGGAGGATAAATTATGTGTGTAGCATCTGTCTCACTTTCAGAAATACTACCTTGATGTCGACGAACTGCTTCTTTCACTTTTGCAGCTGTTGATTTATCTACATCAGGTCTCACGTATACACTTGGTATAATCATACATCGATTTTGTACCAAAGCTCGTTCAGCAGCCATTAACATTTCTACTGTTCTGTCCATACGAGATCCTGACTAAAAAAAAAATTTTTTGTGCATTATTGTTAAATTATGTTTATAATATCATATTTACTTTTCCAACAGGGAAGTCAAATCGACGCCATCCTTGTTCTTGTTTAAAACGATATGCAGTAGCAAGAATATGACACAAACCACCTCCTGGTTTAAAATCTAAGAAACATTTCATCTAGAAAGTTTATAAATAATTTAATTATTTTTTAAAATAATATTTAATTGCATAAATTAATAAATACATACAGGAAGTCTTGTCATTGGTGGTTTTGAAACATTTTTTCCTAAATTATCTTCTTGAAATTGCAGTAATTGCACTATCAATGTAGCTAAACTTTTATTAGTTGGAGGATCCGTTTGGACATACTAAATATTATAAAAAATAAGAAATATTACATGAAGAAAATATTTTAAATTATTAAAATATAATATATTATACATTTTTTATACACACATTATATTAAATATTACATAATACATAACATAACATATATAAATTATATTAAATAAAATTGAATTAATTATATGAGTATCATGTATATATTATTTATGTAGTTCTATATATAAAAAGTTATATATATAAAAAGATAAAATAAATTATTTGCAGTAACTTAAAAATAAACGAAATCTTATAAAATCTTTTAAAAAACAGATAAAAACTAATTCATGTTAAGAAATGCTAACATATTATACAAACTAGTAAATTGATTATTGGACGCCGGGCATTTAGATATACCTTTTTGCAGTTTTTCAAAAGCCATTGTTTAACTGCATCAAGTTGTGTAAGAATTTCCTGGGACTCAAAAAATTTTGTATTGGGTCCACCGTCTTTTTTAGGTCCTAACGCGAGCATCCTTTACAAAATTAGCTTTAAAAATTATTGGATATGTTACAAGAAAGAACACCGCGTTTCTTGCAAACATGACACACCTCTGAAGTTGCTTCGAGCCATATTATTCTAATACAAAAATATTTTGATTTATTTGTAAATTTTTCTTTTAAAAAATTTAAAAATCTTTTATAACTTATAAATAAGTATTTTCTAATAAAAAAACAAAAACATATTTTTATTTTTCATATATAACCTTAACTGATAATATTTACTGCTAACCACGAATGAAGCAGATAGTGGTTTCTCAATTGGCAAACATGATTTTAAATACAATGACTCGAAATTATTTGATAATCTAACTTACTATTTCTTCACAGTGCTAATTATATTATAGGTTATAAATCGAATAAGATTATATTGAATGTATAATTATGTCTGATAAAGAAGATGTTGATATCAATAAGAAGTTCGAAGATTTATTATTTGCCGAAGAAAATGCCCAATACATAGGTTACAAAGAAGGTTTTGAGGTTGGCAAAAAGCAGTTGGTAAATGGATTTCATTTTGGATATCATAAAGCTAGTTTGTTGGGTGCACAATTAGGATATTATAGCGGTATTTTGGAACAATATTTAAGTGCAAATAAATGTAATATAGAGAAAGGTGTTTGGATTGCAAAAGAACTTTTACAAGATATTTATAATTTTCCTAAATATAATGATGAGACAATAGATATATCAAAAACTATAGATAATATTAAATTTAAATATGCCAAGTTTTGTGCATTAACAAAAATATATGCGCCATATCCAGAAACAGATAAACTTGATTTTTAATTATACAGAATTATGATTGAATAAATATAAAATCAAATAATATTCTTTAATATTTTGACTTTTTATTATTTTTCATTTCTGATAATATAAAACGTATCGTTTTTAAGAAAATTTATGCAATATTGCACTAAATTAAATATAATATTATATATACACATGTATACATATAGTTATGTATGATAAACATTTTGATAAAATTTTATATTTTATTAATACTTATCAAAAATTAATAAATTGTCATATAGTTGATTTTATTACTGAAAACTTATGGATGACATGTTTACCAGAAACATTAAGATTAGAATTAGAAAAAAGTGAATTGAATTGGATTACTTGGGCAGAAAATGACAATTTTCCTACACTAAATAATTTTATAAAGTTAGCAAAATCTTTATCTTTGCAATCATGTTCTATAGAAATAAATTCAGAAGATTTTGCAAATACTTTACCTTATATTAATAATTCAAATAAATGTATATATAAAAGTATTAAGATAGAATTTATAAATGCAAAGAAATTACATGAAGTTATATCCCTTGGAAACATTATTGGGGAAATTGCAGCAAAAACAAATAATTTAGTAATAGATGCTGGTGCTGGCAAAGCATATTTGTCAACATTTTTAGCAGAAAATCATAAAGTACCTGTACTTGCAATAGATTCTTCACAATTATGTAGCAATGGAGCAATCTGTAGACAAAAAAAGTTACAAAAGAAGTTGATGCTTTCTCCAATGCTGGTATTAATAATACTTAAATATACATTCGATTTTCAATAAACAATATTTAAATAGATAAATTATATTTTGTTTTAGGTACGTTATGTAGTTGAAGAAATAAATGATAATACTGATTATATAAAAATGATAAAACAAAATTTTTGTGATTGGAATATAAATAAAAATCTTATATTAACTGGTTTACATACTTGTGGTTCTCTTACTGATTCAATTATTAGAACATTCTTAAGTACGAAAGATATTAATATTTTGTGTATAGTACCTTGTTGTTATCATTTGACAAATGAAACATTTAATAAAAAGATTAGTTTTTCTAAAAATGCTAGAATGTTAGCTCAACAATCTGTTGAAAGAACTGTAAAGAATGAATTTGTATCTTCATCATTATTCTACAGAGCAATTTTACAAGTAATTTTTCATTCTTTAGGTATATTTATTTTTATATTAATTTAATATATTATACGTTATTATTCTTTTTTTATATAGTACATTTCACTTTTCTTTTTTTAATAGGTATTTATAATGCTAAAGTAGGCCGTGGAGGACCTTTACATGATTTTCCAACTTATGCTTTATGGGCATTCTCAAAAATTGAAATAGATTTAGAAAAGGTAATAAAATTTTTATATAATAGATGAATATTCTTTTCTAAATAGAATTCTTATATCTTTAGATACCATCACGAGAAAAATTGACGGATACATTTCAACTTTATGCACATTTAATGAAAAAATTTAATATATTCCAAATGTTGAGAATACACATTGGTCTTGTATTAGAGGCAGCAATCATGTTGGATAGAATGATATTTTTACAAAAGAGCAATCAATGTTCTAAATTTGCGATATTACGTTTATTTGATCCTATGTTATCTCCAAGACGTTATGGTATTATTGCGGTAAAATAATAATAAAGAAGAAGATTTAAGAATGAAGGAACAAATAACACACATGTCAATATAGGAAAAATAATTTTAATATGCTTAAAAAATTTCATATATAATATGAGTAAATGTTATACATTTCCTAATAAAAAATATTTATTAAGAGTGAATTTTATTATTTTCTAGATGTAAATTTTTCAGTAATGAAGTTAAGTGTCATTGATTTCAGCAGATTGGAGATAATCCATAACAGATGAATATCCTTCTTCTTGTGCCAAAGGAGCTAAAATTCCAGTAGGAGGTAAACCATTTCTTGTTCTACATATACTGCAATTACATAAACCGCGACAAGGTGGGCAAGCCCAATTCTGTAAATTTTTTGCAATAAAATAATTATTGAAAAGTAATAATTATAGAAATAAATATATATATATAAAAATATAAAACGTACAGGATCCTTCAATGCGTCAACGGCATTTTCACCATATCGTCCTTTTAAACAAGGTCCGCAAAATTGGCCTCTTAGTCCGACACATTCTCCTGAACGACATACCGTTTTTGTATCCAATGTTTTTTGTCTACACTGATGACAACAAGTTCCATTTATTTTACAATATTGTTTCGAAGAACTTTTTTCCGCAATATTATTTAACATTTCGTCCGTAATTTCATCAACGGATGGTATATTATCAGGATCATATGGACTTTTATTTACATTATAAACTCGCTTTTTATTATATTCATTTTTAGTTATATCATACGAATCGTCACTATTATACTGTTCTTCTTCTTCGTCTACATCACAAACTCCTATTTTCATTAAATCAATCGATCGTTGAAAAGGTTTTGCCCATGGAAATAAAACTTGCAATTTAGGTTTATTGTTGCTGGATTTAATTAAATCTTCCTCATATTCTGAAATATTGTGTTTAGTTTGATTCTTTGTTCTACTTCTTGTGTTATATCTCTTACGAAATTCAAGTTTTACATTCTTAATTCTAACAGTATTATCAATGGAACTAGAAATAGTTTTACGTCTTTTTTTAGGTGGTTCATTCTCTAAATTTTCTTCATCTTTATATTTTTTATTCAATTCTTTTACTTCGTCTTTTTGTTTTTTAAGATCTTTAAAGAACTCTGCAAACTATTTTGTTAAATATTAGCAAAAACATTGATTTGTTATAGGTTAGAAATTTAAATTATATACAAAAATACTTACGACGGCATTTCTTTCAGCTATATTTCTTTTTCGTAATTCATCATAATCATTTTCACCCATGTTAAAAATTTAATTGACAAGTCAATTTTTCACACGAAGTAAATATGCACATTTAAAGTATCAGAAACGAATAATAAAACTCGTTTGAATCGTATCACTGATGCTACGAACTTTTATGGCGTATTGACAAATTTGGCGGGAAAAATTTATATAGATTATTACGGATATAATTTTGAGAAAAATCATATAGAGATACATATATTTTCAATTATTTATTAATTTATATTTATTAGCGAATTACTGAATTGTTGTAAAACGAAAATTATAAATTTATAAATAAATATTTATAAATTTTAAGATAATTTTTTTTACATGAAGAGATTGTAATTAAAATATAATTAAAATATAATATTTTTATAATAGTTTGATAATGTTTTTATATTGAGTAATATTAAACTATATAATTTATGTATAAACGTGTTTTTTATTTATTATTACGTAATTGAAACTTAAAAAAAAGAAAAGAATATAGATATGTTCGATTTATTATGATTCATTCAGTATTTTGAAAAATATAAATGATACAATTAATTAATTAATATATGCATAATTAATTAATACATTCAATAATTAAATAATGTTTCAAAAAAATTGTTTGATATATTATTATATAATTTTAATAATATTTCTACGGATATATAGAAATTATATGAAAGTCAACTTTAATATTTTAAATAGAATTATATAATTTTTATTCTACTTATTAATGTAGTTCATTTTCTAAAAAAGTACTAAATTATTTATATTGAAAAATTTTTAATTTGGAAAATATTTGGAAGTTTAAGTAAAATTAAATAAAATTTACCATATGAAAGTCAAGAAACATGCAAAGCCATGTTATTCATGCTCTTCTTATCTTTTACATAAGAAATTTTTTCATATCAATTTTAAGTTAGAATATCTTATTAATTTTTAATATCTTATAAATATATGTATACTAATTTGTGTTTATTGTACAGAATGTGAATATTTATCGTCTTTGAATATATATATATATATATATATATATGAGAAGAATAATCGTAGATAGAGATTATATTCACATCGTAAAATTTATCATAATTTATAATGTGTTTGATGTAATTAATTATTAGCAATGAATCTTTTTTAATATTTTATAATATATTATAATGTAATTAAAAAATTTTTAAACTGTTTTGTATTGGAATAAATCGAGGTTACTCGATATACTTGATAGAGAACATCTATCTACTTATCATATTTATTTTCAAATACAAATAACCTGGAATTTTGGACTCAAATAGACGAGTAGCTTTCACTGCTGATAAGCTGATATAACAATATCGTTTTTCTTATCTTCGATATGAAAAGTTTGCGTGACGTAACATATATATATATATAAAAGAATAGAATAAGACTAAAGAGTAAGATTATTAATCATGTATGATGCATCATATCATGTATACATCATATCATATCGTATTTTTTCTTTGACAACTTCTTTGGAAAAATTTAATGTGAAATAATTTTTAGAAGAGGAAAGAGAATAGAAAAAGAATTGATTGAAATAAAGATAGATTCTAGAGAAGAGAAAGAAAAATAGTTTCAAATAATCGATTATCGTATATCGATTATTGATAGCATAGATTTCATTAATACAATTGACCACCGGTTTCCACAAAGATAAAGGTCTATCTATAATTCAAACAAATGTGAAGCATCGTATTGATGATAGTCTGTTTTCTTATATCGATAACACAATACAATCGTGATAATTTTTCTAGTAAATGTTAATATTCATTTTGATAATGTTATTTTTTCTAAATTCTTGTCAATTCAAGGAAAAAAAAAATATATAGATTTGAAATCAATTTTCCAAGTAGATAGAAATAATAATATATATGAATCCGTATATATTGTATTGTCATATTGATGTATTGCGAGCACACGAATTCGATGTTGCCCCACATTAATTTGCAATAATGACCTAATGTTGAATTAAATTCTGGATATAACGATTTAATTTTAATCATCATCATTATATTAATCATATAAATTTTTTCATCATTGAAAAGGGAAGCGCGTGTACGGAAAAATGATATATAGAAAAATTGATATGATATCTAAAAAGAAGAAATATCTTTTCAATTTGCTGTATCAGGTAATAAAATTTATTGAATCTGATAAATAAAATCGTAAATTACGATAACGGATAATTACGATACGAGGAAAAAAAAAAAAAAGACAAAATAATTTTCCATCGAATATATTATCAATACTTGAATTCTGATCATACAGGGTCATCGAACTTTAACATCGAAACAAATTTTCGAACGAGAATTAAAATATGGAGCTCATAATTACGATCCAATTCCTATCGCTCTATGCAGAGGGGAAGGACCTTTTGTGTGGGACGTTGAGGGCAAGCGGTACTATGATTTTCTGAGCGGTTTCTCTGCAGTTAATCAAGGCCACTGTCATCTAAGAATTTACAAAGCTTTGACAAATCAAGCGAAACTCTTAACATTATGTTCAAGAGCACTTTATTCGAACACATTGGGAGAATTAGAAGAATACATCACGAAAATTTTCGGGTAAACGAAAATCTCTGTTAATATTACAGTTAATATTACCAGTTACATTCTCGCGGTGTTTACACGCGATATCTTTTAAGATTCGAGTAGATTTGCGATTAATCTATTCTTGAAATTCGAAAATACATAATTAAATCAAGTATCAAATTTTTTTTAGATACGATAAATGGCTTGCTACGAATACGGGAATGGAGGGTGGTGAAACGGCTTGTAAGTTGGCACGGAAATGGGGTTATGATCGCAAAGGTATACCACACTATAAGGCGAAAATTATTTTCCCAGAGGGTAATTTTTGGGGTAGAACAATGAGCTCGAATATATCGTCTCGCTCGAGTGTGTCCTCTGGCACGAATCCGACTTCTTTCCGTGGATTCGGCCCTTTTATGCCTTTCGAAATCATTCCGTACAACAGCCTCTCGAGCCTTCAAAAAACTTTAACCGATCCTAACGTTTGCGCTTTTATGGTAGAACCTATTCAAGGAGAAGCTGGTGTTGTCATACCAAAGGTATAAATATCATGATTATTGTATCGTACATGTATCGTTATGATAAAATTTATTTATTCCATAAGGATGGATATTTAAGAGGAATTAGAGAATTATGTACAAAATACAACGTGTTGTGGATAGCCGATGAAGTGCAAACTGGTTTAGGAAGAACAGGGAAAATGCTAGCTGTTGATTATGAAAACGTGAAACCGGACATTTTGATTTTGGGTAAATCTCTGTCGGGTGGTTTTTATCCAATATCGGGTATATTGGCCAATGATTCTGTGATGTTGACTATAAAGTCTGGAGAGCATGGCACGACTTTTAGTGGCAATCCTTTAGCGAGCAAGATCGCTATTGAAGCGCTTCGCGTGATTCTTGATGAGAAATTAGCAGAAAATGCTGATAAACTTGGGCATATTGTCAGATCTGAACTTAAGAAACTTCCAACGAATGTGGTTAATGAAGTTCGTGGAAAAGGTTTACTTAACGGTATAGTTATCAACGATAAAATCGATGTTGTAAACGTATGCTTAAAATTAAAAAATGAAGGTTTAATCGCGAAACCGACACAGAATCACGTAATCAGATTAATGCCTCCGCTGGTTATAACTGAATCACAAATACGAGAATCTATGGATATTATTTCCCGAGTTATTAATCAATTCTCCAAATGATGCACATATATACACGCACATATATACATGTTTTAAATTTATGTATATATTTAATAAATAATTTATGTATATGTTTTAAATTTTAATAAATCTTGTTGATGAACATTATTAAGTTACACTTTATTCTTTTTTTTTTTTCTTTCTTTCAAGCCTGTTTCATCATACAAATACGTAGATCTTTGTGAAAATTGGTCAACAATTGAGGCAACATCAAACAAAATTGAAATCAAATTGAATTAGAAACAGGTTTAAAGAGAAAAATATAAGTTAAAAGCTGTTGAAGTTATTATCTACCATGTGCATATTGAAGGCAGAAAAATTGCTCGATTATAAGTTACATACATGTTATTAATAGCTTCGTATGATACGGTTTTATCCTGTATTCTGTAATTGTTTATTCAGACATTTGTCAGATGTCTTAAACTCGTAATAATATCATATTATAAATAGACAAGAAGTTAAAAATTTAAATAGTGAGAATCATCTCGTTTAATATGCATATCATGTACAATGATTTTTTATTATCAAATGTTGAGAAAGAACTATTCACTTAAAGAGAATAAAGAATCGAATCAAATAAAACTAGAAACGAAATATTTTGTATTTGATAATTTCTTTCGATGTTGATGATTAGTTTTTTTTTAAATTTTAAAAAAGATCAATAATATATTTTTATTAAGTAGAAAATTACTTTATTATTATATAAACAATCTTGAATTCGTTCAAACTTCATAATTAACTTTATTCTATTATAATAGCATAAATTATGATTATAAATTTTCGCCGTTTCGTTTTATATTTTTGTGAAAAAAATAATAAAACAAACAAGAAAAATAAATGATGTTTGCATTGTTTTTCAGATCAGATTATCATGATATAACTGTTTGCAGTTTTTCGTTTGGTTTAATATGTTGGCACTGTAATAAACAATGTCCCCTGCTACTTTATTATCAGATACGAGATTCTTCAACTATATCATCGGCACTTATTTTAAATCCAAGAGACAATATCAAATTATATACAAAATTATATCTTGTGTAGATAACAAGTATACAATTCCCCTACTTTTTCTCTTCAAACCTTGATATAAATGCAAGATGGACTTCGAAATTGAATGCAGTGAGAATAGAATCTCTATCTTAACGAGTCTTTATGAATCATTCGAATATTGTCAAAATGAACTCGACTGTGAGATCACGAATCTTCGGTTTAACCAAAGAAGTGAACTTGAAAAGATCTTTGAATACGCAAGAGTTGATCGAACGTGACAATAAATATGGCGGTGTACATTTCAAACCACTTCCAGTAGTTCTCACGAAAGGTGAAGGTGTCCATTTGTGGGATGTCGAAGGGAAACGGTATCTCGATTTTCTGGCAGGTTTTTCAACTGTTAGTCAAGGTCACTGTCATCCACGCTTGGTAAAAATAATGAAAGAACAAGTAGAAAAGCTTACTCATACATCCAGAGCTTTTTATTCGGAACCTCATGGTGCATTAGGAGAATATTTGACCAAACTTTTAGGATGGGACAGATTTTTGCCAATGAATACTGGTATGAAATAAAAAAAGAAAAAATTAATAATATAAATGATAAATTAATAAAAAAAGAAAGGAACAAAAAAGATAAAAAAGATGAAAATATATTTACAGGAGTTGAAGCAGGTGATACCGCTATCAAAGTGGCTAGACGTTGGGCTTACAGAGTTAAAAAGATACCTACGGATCAGGCAACCGTTGTCTTTGCGAAAGGCAATTTTTGGGGCCGTTCAATAGCTGCGTTGTCCGCATCCACAGATCCAAATTGTTACACCGACTTTGGACCTTACGTTCCTCGTTTTGATAAAGTGCCGTACAACGATCTCGATGCTTTAGAGAAAAAATTTCAGCAGGATCAAACAGTTTGCGCGTTCATGATGGAACCAATTCAAGGAGAAGCGGGTGTCATTATACCTGATGTAAGTTATTTTCATATTTTATGAAATATATATATATATATATAAAATAATAAATAATAAAAGTTTTTCGAAATATTATTAGGATGGTTATTTGAAAGGTGTAAGAAAATTGTGCACCAAATACAATATATTATGGATCGCAGACGAAATTCAAACTGGTTTATGTAGAACGGGTAAACGATTAGCAGTAGATCATGAAAATGAACGGCCAGATATTCTCATATTGGGAAAAGCATTGTCTGGAGGAATGTATCCTGTTTCTGGTATTTTAGCGGATGATCATGTAAGAATAATCATATATTAACATTAATCTAACTGAAAATAAAAATTTTTTATTTTATTTACTTCGATTATTTCAGATAATGTTATGCTTGGAAACTGGCACTCACGGTAGCACATATGGTGGAAGTCCACTTGGTAATAGAGTGGCCGTAGAGGCAGTTAAGATTTTGGAAGAAGAAAATCTTGCAGAAAATGCGAGAAAAAATGGTGAAATTATTCGTAAAACATTAGAAAAACTTCCGAAGGATATAGCGACAGAGTTTCGAGGTCGTGGTTTGTTGGGTGGCTTGGTAATTAATAAAGGTATTTAATAATTGAATCTATATATTTATAATAACATATATCGCATATCTATTTTATTTATTTTCTTCTTCGAATATATTTTGCAGACTTTGCCAAAGGCTGGGATATTTGTTTGAAATTGAAGGAAGCAGGTTTATTAACCAGACCCGCTCATGGACAAATATTAAGGATATCACCTCCGCTCGTAATCACAAAAGAACAACTCGAAGAAGGTCTCGATATAATAACTACCGTCCTCAGAAATTATAAATGAACTTACCTTTATTTTTGTAAGCGTACAAATATCAAACTTTTTAAAATTTTAAAAATTCTTATTCGAAAATCTATGAAGAAAATTAACGATTAAAAGGTTATAAAAGTATATAATATATTTATGTAGAATTATATTTGTAAGATGATATACATACATATAAGTCATATTTACATATAATTAACCGTGAGAATCGTGCCTTTTCAAATGTCTCGTAAGACTAAATGCTTGTGAAAACATTTGATTACATTGATGACATTTATATGACTTTGCACCATTGTGTAAAATCAAATGTCTCTTCAAATGATTAGCTAATTTAAATCGTTTTCCACACAATCGACACTGATGTTGCCTAACAGTCGTATGGGAAGCCTCGTGACTTTTCAAGTGACTCGACTGTGAGAAATGCTTTCCACATATTTTACATTCAAAAGGTTTTATCTTTGTGTGAATTCTTATGTGTTCCGCGAGGTTACCTTTCTGAACGAAGCATTTATTGCAATATTCACACTTATGCGGTCTCGTCGTTTTGTGCGTTCGCAAATGAATCTTTAAGTTGTAATTACGACTAAATGTTTTATCACATATTTCGCATCGCATCAAATCTTTGCCAGTATGAAGCCGCTCGTGAGCTTTAAGATTTTTCAATAGGCGAAATCTCTTCTTGCAACTGGCACATTCAAAAGTTTTGTTTTCTTCGATTCTTATATCGTTATTGCTACTCTGTTTATGTGTTTTTAAATGTTCCTGTAAATAAGATGGATACGAAAATATTTTATCACATATTTTACATGGATGTACATTAATTTTCGTGTGTAATCGCATATGCGCGTTTAATTTGCTCTTCGATGAATATCCTTTCTCGCAATTAGAACATTTGAAAGGCTGCTGACCAGAGTGCGACAATTGATGTGTTAACAATTTAGATTTTTGCGAAAAACATTTAGAACATACTTCGCATTTATATTTTTTTATCTGTATATGTTGTAAATTTTCTGAATGTTGCTCGTTTTCGATCTGTTGTTTATTATAATTCAAATTCGAAGAGCATGATTGATATCTATTGATATTCTCCCTATTGTCGATGCGCTCGAGACTTTTTGCAAATCTTATTGCACGGTAATCAGTTGTTATATTATAACTTTCTGAATCAGGTATTGCGGCATTTCGTATCCGTTGCGGGCTACCCTCTCGAACCTCGTCTCCTAGATCCATATTTTCGGGAAAACCCAAATTTTGCATTTCGTTGTTATCATTCGTTGCAGATCTATGATAAGATAAATTCTGAATAGAATTTCCAACGGAATTAATCGATCTTTCGTAACTTAAATTTTGCGGAATTTGATTAGAATTTTCACAGATATCTATATTTTCATTATCACAAGGTACTTCTATATTCTCCGAATTGTGAGTGATACTGTGACTTATTAATTGAGTTCTATTGGTAAATGTGCGATTACATAAGGAACAGTGTAAAGCACACGCTGCACGATTAGGGTTTTCTCCATTTATTGGAATCATTTGCATCATATTTGATCTAATCAGTGGAGATGATTGTGTATGTTGAAGATTTTCATTGGTTAAACAATTGGAACTCAGATGACCAAAGTTAAAATTTAAATATGAATTTTGCGATTCTACTATATGCATGTGTTGCATAGGTAGATCGTCTTGAACAAAGGGCAAATGTGACCTACTATGAGCACAAAATTCCTGATAATTTGTATATACTGCTCCACAGTCTATACATTTCAAAGTCTTATGGGAATTTTGAATAGATGCAAAATTTTGATTGTGTTGATATAATTTATAACTAGATACTGTTGTATACGAAGTCAGACCAGAAACCTACAAATATTTATAATATATTATATTTCAAAAATTAAAATTTCTTTTTAAAACTCAATGATACATGTACATATATTATTACCTTTAAAAGGGCTTGTCTTAATGCTCTATCTGCCGCACGACATTGTTCTCTATATAATAGAGCAGATTCTGCTCTTGTTACACAACGATTACACATTTTCTCTGGAAGGCCATCTCCTTGCCAAACCTAATAAAAATATAAATTTTAATGATAAAAAAAAAATTCTTACGAAAAAAATGATGAATTCAATAAAAATATTTGTTACTTCGAGACATGAAAGAGACCGTAATTTCGCAGCAAGAGATGATTCAGCCGGTCCCACGAATAAACAAACCATTTTATCACCATCCTCTCTTAAACATGTACGGCATAATTTACCAATGTTTTCGCTGTCAATTTCTTTCGTAACGATAAACATCGTTATGATCTGACAAGTAACCTCAAAAGTTGACACAAAACTGTCTCAATTGGTGGATAGGTTAACATTTTGTTTTGACATTTACAAGTTGCGCCATCTTTTTGATTCAACAATAAATCATAGATGTCGCTAAACAAGCAAATTACTTTCATTAAATTCTTTATAATAAATATTACTAATAGTAGATGTCGCTAAACGATCAAAATCATCAATTTCTTTCTATTTAGTTTTTTCGGTTTGATCTATTTTGCGATTATCCAATTGCAAGTTTTAAATTGATGCAATTTGGAAGATATAGATATTGGTTAAAAAGAAAAAAAAACAAAATAATAAAAATAAAAAAAGTAATAAAATAATAAAAACACGAAGATACAATTTTTTAATAAGTTTTTTTTATTTATTTTATAAGATTTATATTATTTATTTGCAATCAGTAGTTTCTTGTACAAGAAATAAGGTAAATATGCATATAAAAAGATAAACGTATACATATACGATGATATAATTGCATGGAAACTCAAGTAGACAGTCGTCTAAAAAGTTGATAGAAAAGAAAATGACGCAGGATCGATCGTACACACTGTGTACAATTTCCATTCAAAACTGTCTAAAACGATCAATGAAATATATCGATAGTGAATACACAAACTAGTAAATTATATTCAACATTGTCATTGTTAGACGAAATCTAATATTTCATTTTTACATTTATTCATCGTAAAACTATATATATATTTTACAAAATAAAAAAATTGTTATAGATTAATCATAATCTGTTGTTTGCGCTTATAAAAAATTCTTTTAATGAATTTGCTGACTTTAAAGATATGCGTCAACTACATTTATTATATTTTTGCAAAACAATATTTCCATAAAAAAGTACATTAACAGATTCAACAATTACTAGTTAGAATTGTTGCAAATATTTCTGTAATTTGCTTCCTGGATTATCCTTTCTCTCTTCCCCTTCCCCTTCTGGGATGATTTCAATCCTCGTCCATTAATTCTATCGTTAATGAAACGCGCGATTTAATTACCTATATTGGCGTGATAGAAATTCGATAAATAATATTACCATCGATAAAATATGGGCGATTAAATAAATAGCAGACTGTCGCCATGCAATATGATCAGAGAAATTTTATGATATAGTCAAACGCAACTCGACATATAATCATCTATTTTATATTTTACTTATATATATATATATATAAAAGTTAATTTTAATCTTGAATCAAATTTGAATTTGTGTGCGAAATTTTGAGAATCCGTATTATTATGAAGTAAAAAAAAGTAAAGTTAAAAAAAAGGAAAAAGAAACTAAATACAAATTAAAGTAAAACTAATTGCTTCGTGTAATTAAAAACGTTTATCCATAATGACAACAGGATTTATTAATGATTACTTTCTTTATGTTTGAATTTTTTTACAAGAAATAAAACTCGAAGAGTTTTAGCGGGAAACAAGTGTAACCAGATAACAAAGTATTTCGAATTGAACAAGTTTATATAGATAGGTGGGAAATAGGATCGGAAACAGTCCAATTAGCAACTATAATTATAGATTCCAGAATTTCATGACAGCCCTATGTCCGATTAATTTGAACCTTTGTGTCTTTGGTTGGTCTAGTATTACAAATTATTCTATACTTTTTTTCGTCGATTTAAAAAAAAAATAACACAATGTGCAACCGAAGAATGTTTCACGGTATTTCATAAAAAAAAAAGAAGATTTTCCTTTGTTTTAATTATAATTTCTTTGTTAATATACGATTAACAATAGATTTTACGTTATTATAATATAATTTATGATAATGCTTGATAATATATGTATATAGCACTTATAATATATAATATTTAGTGTTTTTCGATTAATCGAAGAATATCGATATTATTAATAAATCGAACAGATGTTAAGTATCATGCGAATGATCACGATCTATTGATCTTTCAAATATAAAAGAGATATATATCTTTCAAAGATTTAAATTTAAAATTCTATATACATTATCGCATTCTCTATAAATATGTGAATCAACATTGTCATCTATTTCCAAATGTAACAAGAATTAAACTAAACTAAGATTGTCATCAAATTATTCTTTGATAACAGACGTGAAATATATTTCAACAAAAGTTCTTTTTCACCTTCAAATACGTTATTCATAAGCAAAGATGTATAGTTTATTCGTTACACACGAGTTAAATATCTATGCGTTTGTGTAATGTACTATATCTATATTAAGTTCAATTTATTTTCAGGTTAGAATCGAATGAATTCTCCCACTTTACTTTATTACTCACAATGCGAAAAGGTGTGGCCTTTAATAAATAGATTCGAGAATGTTATTAAGATTTTTTTTAAAAATTATTTCTTACGATTCGAAATATTGGTTTGATAATATAAATAAATAACAATTAATAACGATTAAGAGATAGTAATTATGTAAGTATTTATGCATTATAAAGACATTATAGAGAACAAGAAATAATCGAAGCTTATTATCGATATTCGAACGATAATGATTCAGACCATGATATTCTCATATTATTCAATTAAAAACGGATGATTATCTTTTTCAGATTGTAATATAATATTATTATATCATAGAAGAAAATAAATTATATTTGTATTTAAATATTTTAAATTAATTTTCGCAATTTTGTGTAATATCGAGGTATATATATAAAATAAAAATACTTTGGATGTCATATTTTTATAATAATCCGCAAAAATCAATATTGCAACCATTATCGGTATAATATAATTGTAAAAACAGATAAGAAAAATATCGATTATACCGAGCTCTTCGTTAAAGCTTCAGTGCACAATTAATTTCATTTTTATATCTAAGATATAAGAATAATTTAAAACATGAAAAAAACAAAATTAAACATTGCAATGTAAATATTTGGAAAAATACAAAAATAATAAAACTTTTGCGTTAAACTTTTTTAAAACTTATGAAATATTTAATAATATTCTCAAAAGTTTATAATTTTCATTAAGCTCATTTCGAAGATATTTATATCGATTTATCTATTATATTGATATTATATTAATTTGATTTGATACTATCTATTTTTTATCGATTTTTATATATTTGTTTCTTACTGCTTTATACTGTAGGATGTCTGTTAGTCGCCACGCTTGCCGCAACAGGTAGATAACCGTAGAAGTACTTTACATATGACTCGTACAGTTTCTTCTATATATTCGATAATTATTGATCAATCGCATTAATTTAGGTAGAAAATAACGCAACAATTCCATGGTGTAACTGTTAAATGAATATATTATTTTAAATTTCTAAAAATCTAACTATTTTAATCAAAAAAAACGCGAAAAGCATATAAAAAAATAACAAAAATAACAAAAATAGAGAGAAGAAAAGAAAAAGAAGCGAAAGAGATAAAGAAAATAAGCATTCACAAAACATGAATATATATATATATAGATATATATACTTACATGTATCGAATATAATTCATTAGGAAGAGCTTGTGATTTATAAATTATAAAAAAAATTATACTCTTTCTGCGAATAATTAAATTTTTCATAATAAAAATGATTTAGGAATAATAATTTTAATAAATATATATGTTAATAAAAATGAACCATTAGATAAAATAGTGGAAGTTAAAGCCCGAGGCTCAATATATCAACTATCCGTTCCTGAAATACGATCAACAAGTAGTTAGCAAGTGGGGGAATACTGTTTGTATGCTGGTGACGGGATTGGTAATGTGGGGCTAGAGGAGCGGGGAGAACATGGAGAAGGGAAGAATAGGGTGAGGAGAGAGACGGGTAGGGAGGGTAGGTATTCGGGGCAGGCGAACAGGCAAGCAAGTAAGCAAGACAGGCAAGCACGCAGGCAACGAGAAAGCACAGGGTACCGCGAACGAATCGCGCGTCCTCGCCGTTCAGTCGGGTAGGCGCGTTTCTGTGGCGTCGGTCTTTCGAGGGTAGCGTTTGCTTCGTGTTGTCCTCGGTTCAGAGCGAATAGTCCTTTTAAGTGCAGTGTAACGGGTGTTTTATTTATCGTGTTAAGCAAAAAAAATTTGAAAAATAAAAAAGAAAAAGGATCATGAGAACCATGTGCACTGGTGATGATGTACTTTAACAATCGTTGAAAGTTGGTATAAAGATTGATACAAGGAAGAAATAGAGGTGAACCTGCGAAATAATATAAGGAGAAAGAAGCAACAACGTGGTTGCTTCGGCTAGAACATCCAGCCGGGAAGAAAAGAATAACAAGGGCAAGAAAGGAAACATGTCGCGACAACTTACTAGCAACCACATTGTACGGACCTGGGCGAGGCCTCAGTATTTTTTGCTGTCGTTTCTGCTTCTTTGTGGAACTCTCGGTGAGTGAATCGTGTCTTTCAAAGGCTATTATCGTGATGCTTTTCTACCTGTGTATACATGCATGTGTACTTATACGTTTGTAAGTGTAGTACTCGCGTGTGCGAGAGAATGAGAACGATGCGTATGTTTATAACGTTTTGTTCTGCCGCGCATGCGCGATTGTTCGTAGTACGTCGACGAGGCCAACCATGCAACGATGGTGGGGTAAACTGGGGCCTTAGGCCGCGTTCATAAGTATAGTCTCAAGATTTTCCAACACCACACAATCGAACATGTAATTTACCATACAAAATTTTTTGTTTTTTCTTTTTCTTTTAGTTACTTATTTGCTAATATATCGATTGATAATTTCGTTACGTTATAGATATATATATATATATGTATATATATATATATATCTAAATATTTGTATTTCGTCTATTTTTTAGTTTCTCTAATAGTAAATTCAGTCAACGAAGAAACACTTGAGAATCCGATAAAATGGTCATTGGTTTGCATTGGTCACACAAACCATGTCTTCTTTCTACTTTCGTAACGCAAAACCAGTAGCGGGGCTCTGTTTTTCTTGGTAGAAGATATCGGATAGCAAGGTATCGTGTCGTACGATATGAAATGCGTACCCTGAGAAAATCGAGAGAACAAAGTTACATTCGAAACAATACTTCGATAGAGAGGTGTTTGACCAGAAAGTACCTTTAACTATAGAAATTTTCTTACATATTCATTCCTTTCATTTTAATTAACGGTGATTATTAATAGATGAATATTATTGTTTTAAGAAATATATCATAAATTATAAATTAATCATTTAATAAATTGAATAATTGCAATAAATAAAAAGAAGTAGAATTTAAAGGGAAAAACACTTTTTGAATTCAAATTCGTATCGATACATATTGTCGCACATCTTAACAAAGAAATGGAGAAATATAATTGAAAAAAGAAGAGATAAAACAAAATGAAAATCCTTTTTATCGATAATCGATAGATTAGAAGAAATACGTTATTTTTTTTAGATTTAATTGAGATGAATTTCATTTAGATATAAATGTGGAGTTGCAATCAGGGTCGCGTTCCATTTCGCCGAGTCGGCCGCATAAGGATTCGGTTTGAGGAGAGATTCGAGAGAGGCCTTCGAGGAACCTTACTCGGCGTAATCTTAAACCACTGGCAACCGATTTCAAAGTGCTCTCTTGGTACATTCCTCGGATTTTTCCCTCCCTTACTCTTTCTTCCCCTCTTAACTTCTTCTCGTTCTCGTCTCCTTCCCCTTTCGTCAATTCCCTTCTTCTCCTCCCCCACACTTTCTCATTCTAACGTTTCTGTTCTTTTCCTTCTCACGTAAGAATGCAGCTTTAGCTGTACAACAGAAACATCAGCATCGTCGCGCGAGCTACGCAGTATGGCTTCTCTTTTCTTTTTTTTCCCTTCCCCCTTTTTCTTCTTGCTATTCGAGATTTTCAAATACTTTGTAGATCGCAAACCAATGTAAACAAATTGATTCGAATTATGTAAAATGTCGACTCAATAATCGTAGATCACTGATGCATCATTGATATAAACTATTTATATGTATATGATTTTCGTATTTTTATGTTCGAAACATGGATTTCTATTTATTTTTGCGTTTATTTATATATATATATTCGTTTTTTCATACTTCTATTTTTATTTATTATTATTATTATTATCATTATCGTTATTATGATTGCAATTCTGTTGCACAACAATACAGTTTTCGTTTGAAAAAAGTATATATACAAAAGTAAAATTTATTATTATATATGTATACATTCCATCGAATCCTGTTTCTTTCCCTCAAGGAAGTCTACGTAAAAAGGAGTATTTCGAAGAACGTAGTTTCCTTATTTTGTTTTCATAGGAACGCCTCTGAAGTGGGTCAATATTACGTAACAAAAAGCTCGTGTTCAACTATCGCTCCTTTATAAGCTTGTCTTATAAATTAAATGAATTTTGAATATATTGTGTATTTATATCGTTGCTTAGAAATTCATCGAAAATTAACGATCTTCAAAAGGAAAAGAGAGGAAACGAGATATTCGGGAAAGAATTTGACTCAACGCATGATTCGATTTTTCCAGCAGTGAGTTTACCGGTGACAATCTGTCGTGCATCAGGATTATATTTCTAAAGATTTCTTTGTCCTAAGAAAGAATGATTCGATTACTTGAATTGGACGATTCCGTTTTCGGTCGCCAAATACATAAAGGGATCTAGACTTTTTGGAAATATATTAGATTGAACGAAAAACGAAGGATGAAAGGAAAATAAGGATGGAAGGAACGTGATTGACGAAGAAAAGACCGGTGCGCCGCGTGGCATACGAGGAACAATAAAGATATAGAGAGGAACAAGGAGGTTCGTGAGAGGTAGAAAGAAGCAGGATCATGGTTAGAAGGAAAAAGAGAGAATCGGGAGGACAAAGAGCGATGGTGTCGGGGTCGCCGGCCGTTTACTCGTAGGTGTGCACAGCTTGTACGAAGAACCAACGTGCTTAAACGATCATCCTTCGCAGCTTTTCGACGAATCTTCGAATCATGAATTTATAAGGAATTTTTTGTTGAAATGATTTCCGCATCTTGTTTTTTTTATTCTATTCGATATATTCTATATAGAAAATTATTGGACAATAAGAATTAATTGGAACAAATATCAACCGTTTCTCGATATCTATAGAAAATCTGCGATAAAATCGAAAAAAAAAAATCATTAAAATTATTTCGTTTTATCGTCATTTCGGTTGAAAAATTTACCGTGAAACGGTAGGTGAAGTAAAGTAAAGAAAAGATTCGAAAAATTCGTAGATTCGGTATCGGAATTTCGAAAAGTTTCGTCCTATTTCATCGTTTTGCTCTTCGTCATGCTTCAAACTTTCTTTCTGATGGGTCTTCTTCTCCGTTTGAGCGTCGATTCAACAAAGTCTCGAGGCATAATACGCTTGAAAATGGTGGGTCACGCCGCGTTGCTTTGCAAAGACGAGGATAAATGTTTGTTCCCGATCGATAATTTGATCTCGTTTACTTTCGTGCTAATTACAATTGATCGATTAATTTGATATGTAATAGAATAAAACGAAGTAGAATACAAAGTGGCAAAAGAAACGATCGTGGCGGGAAGATTATACGTATTAATTCGTGCGTCACCCGATATTATTATTGGTAAATTTATTCTAATTGGGTGGATTTAGCGGTATGGGCTATCATGTTTAGAATCGTGGTGGATGGGTGGCGAGCGTCCGTCAGGACCGCTCTAAAATGATGGTGACGTCCATTCGCGAAGCGAAATACATTTGCATTTGAAAATCGTTCGGGCATCGACTGACAGTTGTCCGTGATGAGCGTGATTCGTGACACGCGCATGCAAGCAAGATGTGATTCGCGTGCAGATTTTCGCCCCGTTTCCCATTTCTCGTTCGAATCATCGATCCTTTTCAATTTCTCGTCTTCGGTTTATCGATCAATATTACATATCGCCATTATCATTTCGTCTGATCTTTCTCTCGTTTCCCTTCTCCACGAAGCAAAGAAAAATTGGAAAAAGAAAAATCCATTCGTGAATCGATAATTCTACACTCGTAAATTCATTTCGAGCTTATCGATATCACACGCATAGTTAGATAATCGATCTCTATTCGCGAGATAACTAAAGCCACGATAGCCAAGCACGATAAATAGCCAAGTTACGATTAAAATCATTTATCGTAATTTTTTTTTTTTTTTAATTTTAGATTTATCTTGAAAAATTCTCTTCGGTAAAATTTATTCAGTAACGAGATTGTTTTCAATTACCAATTATTTTTCTATCACTCGAATATTAATTCCTGGTAAAATTATATTTTTTCCGTTATTTATTGTTAGCGAGGAAAGAAAATAAAAAGTCGCAAAAAAAAAAAAAAAATTGATCGCGTTGACTCGACTTATCTTCTATCGGTTCGCAGTAAAGAATTTCCGTTCGATTAAGTTCGAAGGAAAGGTTACGATGGGCCGATCCGAGAAACTTGTAAAACGAATAGTTGGCAATGACGTGGAATTACCTCTTTTTTCCGATGCACGTTTCAGATATTCGTCTGAAAGGAAACGCAAATGATTATCGATTGATTTCCATTAAAATCACTATTTACAAATTCGAGATTCGAAAAGCGGCATCAATCTTTCTTTCGAAATCTTGGGAAAAAATTACGAATCAGAAAGAATAGATAATTCGTTTATTATTTTTACTTTTTTTCCTACGTGATAATTGACCATTAGATATTGACCATATACGGGTGAGTGAGTGTATGCTGCACCGGTACTGAACGTGTCAAGCATCGTAATTCTGGCTAACGTTTTCGTGTCGTAGTCTAGAGCGCTGCATCGGGTTCCTCTCTGCTTACAATTAGTAGATCCATTACTCGTCTCTCTTAGATGACCTTTTGTATTCCGGCATGATGAGTTTTTCACGATATATATATTGTATAACCCTGTAATCTTGCGTTTAATGAATAGGAAAACCAAATTCCAGTTGCTAATTTATCGTATCAAAAAGTAGATCTAGCGGCATCTTATTATGTAGCTTATTAGTTTAGCCACGAGTTGGTAGTCGTAAATATAAAAGGAGGGTAAAAGTTTCGTAACAAGGAGGGAAAAAAATTGCAACGAGATAAGTTTTTTTTTTTTTAGATGAAAACACTCCGAGATTTGAAGAGTGCTTTGTGCTTTTAATACGATACGATCTCTCTTCTTTCTTTTCTCGAATTTTATGTTCGCTCTCGAATGATATCACAGATTAAGAAAGGCGAAAAATATTGGATTCACATTATAAAGCGACAGATTCCCAATATGAAGAACGTTGCACTCGGTATAACGTAACGATTCGCCGTCGTAGGAGTATTCGATGAGGCCCACTCGACGTTCTCGTCTTACTACGACGCCTAACCATGAATATCGCTTGCCTATGCAAAATTCCCACGTCTTACGCTCTTGCGCTTCCTCTTGTTCGT